GTGTGTGTGTGTGTGTGTGTGTGTGTGTGTGTGTGTGTGTGTGTGTGTGTGTGTGTGTGTGTGTGTGTGTGTGTGTGTGTGTGTGTGTGTGTGTGTGTGTGTGTGCACGTGCGTGTGTGTGTGTGTTTGCAGTGTGACATACTTAGGCTTTAGGGTCAAGCTTACATGTTTTCCTTTGATCTGGCAATTCCTTCAATTGTATTAGATCCATGTTGTGTTTTGCCTGAAAAGCGCTTTGCTACATGACTTAAAAAGCTTTGTAACTTTACTTTGTTACAGTTTTTGAAATACTATTTAAATTTACTCTGTGTTTTTTTTTTTATTGCAGGTACACGATGAGAGAAACAAAGAGCATCGGAGAGACACTTTTTAGAAAGGTAGGCTGATCAAGAGACAAAGAATGAGAGAAAGAAGAAGAGTGGGATGGCTTTAAATCTTTCCCTCACCTTTCTCTTTCTCCTATCCGCTCCCTCCTTTCCTTCCTCTCTCTTCCCCTCTTTGTCTGATCCCTCCCTCTCCACCTGCTCTTCTCCCTTTCTCTCTCACTCTCCCTCTTTGCCTCCACCCTTCACTCCGCCCCTCCCCACAGCCATTGGTCAAGCATCCACCAATCGCAGCAGGAGCAGGGCCTGAGGGACTGCATATGCAAAACGCTGCTTAATATTCATGAGCTGCTATCGGGGCTTTAAGTCGTTGATTAGGACAGCGGCACAGCTTTCCGTCCCAACTGCCTGACTGGCTGGCTGTGTGTACCTATAGCCCCTCTCCCTGGCTCTCACATACACACACAGCGCACACACAGACACGCTCCCTCACAGCTACACACGCAGTGCCGATCAGAGCAGGCAGCGCAGAGCCTGGTAATTGTATTGCTCCCTCCAAGCGGAAGGAAGGACCAAGAGAGAGGAAGACCGGAGAAAGAAGAGGAGGAGAGATATAAAAACTTTGCTTTTTTGAATTTTCTTTTTTTCCTGGAGGAGGTTGACTTGACAATGACCAGGCATCGCCGATGGAGTCGGTAGGACATCCGTTATCCGAGTGTTTTTTAATGCACTCTGAACAAGAGTAGGTACATTTAACCTTTTTATCTTATCCTTTCATTCTTCATTCAACTTGTCATTGTCATGTCTTTCATTGTGTGTGAGTGTGAGTGTGAGTGTGTGCTGGTATGCAGCGGAGGTGGCCGGCACCATGTCAAGGTTGTTTCTGCTGTCAAGTAGCACGCGTTCACTGTCTGTGTGTGTGTGTGTGTGTGTGTGTGTGTTTTGTGTGTGTGTGTGTGTGTGTGTGTGTGTGTGTGTGTGTGTGTGTGTGTGTGTGTGTGTGTGTGTGTGTGTGTGTGTGTGTGTGTGTGTGTGTGTGTGTGTGTGTGTGTGTGTGTATGTATGAGTGTGTGTGTGTGTGTGTGTGTGTGTGTGTGTGTGTGTGTGTGTGTGTGTGTGTGTGTGTGTGTGTGTGTGTGTGTGTGTGTGTGTGTGTGTGTGTGTGTGTGTGTGTGTGTGTGTGTGTGTGGCTGCAGTATCCGGACAGCAGCTCTTACTCAGTGGGTAGAAGAGTGGAATTTCTGTTTCTCCACCTGGAAGCGAGACACACACTCATACACACCTGCACATATACACTCATTAGTAAAATAGGGACACAATTTCTCCTTCACTTTTTCTGTTTAAAGACATTCTTTTACTTTGACTCAAATTGTTCTCAGGACAAAACAGCAACTCAGTCAGAGTATGTCTTCCTGGGTTTATGCTTGAGCACGCATGTTTTTTTATGTGTGTGTCCAGGCAGAGAATCAGAGAGGTAACGGGGCATTGAGGTTACGGAATAACGGGAGAGACGGGAGGAGAAGGGCCCACAAGAGAGGAGGGAGAGGAAAGGGGGAGAGCTGCGCTCTTAAATGCCAGAGGAGGTAGAATTTCAGATGGGCAGCTCAGCGTGTGGCCCCGCACAGGAATTAGAGACAGTCACACACACAGACACAGACACACACACACACACACACACACACAAACAAGCGAGTGCCGCTGAGCTGCTCCTTTAGCCAATGCTTTGCTCTTTTAAGTGAATGTTGAAGACGCTGCTCAAAATGCAGACTAACTGATTGGCAGAACAGACAGCAGTGTGTGTGGTTGGGCGACTGCCATGCAAGCTGCGTTTCATAAAAATGCAAACAAGGACAGATAACTCAAAGCAAAAATATAGCAATAAACACACACTTTTTCCTTTTTCAAACTTTACAAGGTAACACATGGATTGGAAGTGATGAGTGTAATTCTGCAAAGGGAGTGCAGCCACTTGGGATGGGTGAATTCACTGATGGCACTGACGCTGTCAAAATTGCATTGCTTTCAATAAATGCCAGAATTTAATTGTAAATATGTATAGAAATTAAAACACATATATAAGGCGTATTTGTCGTAAGTGGACCTGGCATGATAATGCATACATATAAATGACCCTTATAACAGCCTCAGTGTCTTCACGGTAGAAAGTCGGAGGTGGAGACCTGAAAGGTAAAAGTCAAAGCAGAAATTATTTTCTGATGTGTTTCCTGGACAGGACATTATTGACATTTTTAAAGAAAACTGACATTATATGTGAACTTTGAATCCGGCTCACGTTTGTATGTGTGTGTGAGTGTTTCATTTACAAAAAGAGAACCTCTCACCTACACAGTGAGAGGAATACAAATAACAGCTGGCTTAATATTACAGATTCAAATTGTCTTTGATCAATATAAAAAACGTTTTATTGGTAGTTTGTTTCAATTATAATTATGTTTACAGTAATTAATAAAGATATGCAAACGCCTTAAGAGTTATTCCTTTAGCACAAATGTATATTTATTGAAACTTCAATATTATACAAAGAAAAACACCTTAAGAGGAGTTTAAACATGATAATTCAAATAGCAAAGCATTTTTATAAATCTGGCTTTTGGTGCGTTTGAGGTTTTGATCCGAACAAAGTCTCTTTAGATCAATCTTTAATATTGAGCAAGCCAATTTCCTTTGTAAATCAAATGACTTGAAGACGAGCAAAGTCTGATTCCAGAATACTTTCGACGCTAAGAAGCCCTCTCACTGTATCTGAACAGAGTCTGGGCAATGCTCCTTCCACTGAAAACTGTGTGGTGTATTTTAGGAACCAATAGCAAATGAGGTGAAAAACATTCAACAATGTTTTTTTATTGTGAATGAGAAAAGAAAAGTGACTTCCTCTGTCCGGGTTATGGAACTTTTGAATAAGCGTAAAATGTAAGAACTCTGTTTAAAAATCAAGCACAAATATGTTGACGGAAAAACTCTTTGATATCAGACGGTTATCAGTGGAATATGCTGCTTTACTTTTCCGTGTTTCTGCAAGTGCCCGTAATCTGCAACCGCTCTCTAATATTTTAGAAATCCTTTGGCCCTTTTTTCGCATCTGTCTGACTGTCCGCTCCTTCATCCATTCATCCATTCATCCGTCCACCGTTCTCTTTTTCTCTGCTCAGGCTTCCCTTCCTTTGCTCTCAGGCACTGCTCTTCTGCACTAATTAAAATATTAGGGATAATGATCATACCGATAATAATAATAATAATAACAACAAGTACCGCTTAAGCTGTTAACATAATTGCATTCCCCTCATGCCACCATATACATACCATTTGCATATCATTATGATATATTTCCTACAGTGACTTTAGTGGATTTTGAGGGTTTTTATCAGTGGGTGTGAAAGGAGACGGGGGCTTCAGCGGCCGAGCTGATCGTTCAGTCAAAGGTTTGCTGCGTGAGAGACGAAGAGAAACACAAGGCAGCGTACGTGAATTCAGTTACGGTTATTATCAATCGTGATTTTTCTCTAGAAATAATAATTGTATTTCCTCCATAGAAATGGTAGTGAAATCAAATGTTTGGGATTGTAAGTGAAACTCTAAATTAGGTTTTTCGGAGGAATAATTCAAATTCGTCAAACTAAATGAATGCATGTAAGAAAACATGACAAAATGATTTAGTTCTTTAGATTTTTTTATTGTTTATTAAACAGATTTAGTGATGAAATGTGTGCACACAAAAGCGCTCCATTTCCACCCTGCAATTATTACTCCTTGTGTCAAGACATCACTGAAAGCAATGCAACAGACACATTTCAATGTTTAATGTTCACAATCATTATCTTAAAGATTTGACTATGATTTCTTTAATTGAGATCAAATAATTTATTGAAAAATCTCATTCTTGAAACTTGAAGGCCGAGCGTTCTTACACTCTGTTAGTTCAAATATCACTAAGGTCTATTCAACCAAAACCTAAATAGTGCAGCTTTGTAATAAATGTGTAGTCTTTAAAAAAAAAGGCAAAGATCACCTTACTATTGTCCGAAACTGTTTATTTGAAATGTATGAATTAATGCAAATGAAAAGAAAAATGTGCTTGTTTCTGGTCAAAGCAAATGCATCATATTGTTCTCTTTTTTGTCAGTCTCTCGTGCACTAATTTTCTCAGGCCATGAGGGAGAGAAAGCAGTAGAGAGGGAAGGGGGGGGGAGAGAGGGAGAGGTAAAGCTGACTGGAGGGAGGGACAGGGGGGGACCAAAGAGAGATTGCGTAAATTAAAATCCTTTTAATCTCCTTATAAAATCATTTACTTAATTCATCTGTCAAAGCATGTCAATATGTGCCGCACTGATTTGTTGGCTGTGTGTGAGCGTGTGTGTGTGTTTGTGTGTGTGTGCACATTTGCATCTGTTTGTAGTCATGCATGGGTTGCCTGTCTGTCCACATTTTGTGCGCGTGTGTGTGACCCATTGGTGGCCTGTGTGAGGAGGTGTTGTACTTATTTTTTGCGCGTCTGTTTGCCTGTCCATCTGCATTCGTAGTCAGTAAGTATATGCATAGTCAAATACGCACAAAAACACACACACACACACACACACACACACACACACACACACACACACACACACACACACACACACACACACACACACAGAGAAACATGCGTAGACAAGATACTGTGTCGAGGCAGCACCGTATGCCTTTATGCTTATAAATAAATGTTACTATTAAAATGAGAGCATTTCATTTCTTGTCATCTGCAATTATAGGTTTTCAGGAGAGCAACATTTAAAACCAAGAGATTCATTCGGTCAGTTTTGTAATGGTGCCAACTTGAAGCATTAGTGAGGGAATAAGTCAAATAAAAAAGATGCTGAGAAGTCCAAATATAAAAAATGTAATAAAAAAAAAAAAAATACAATGAAGAAATAAAAAATGGTAGACAATCAAAGGCATGATGTAAAATAGGCAGAGAAAAGCAGGTAGGCGAGAAAGAGACAGACAGAGCAGAGACGATGGGCACTCCAGCTAACCTGATTATGACTAGATGTGAATTAGATTCCCTAACAGATGGTCCAGGAGCGAGGCTGTAAGGTGCATCAGCCAGCAGCGAGGGGAGGGGGGGAGGCAGAGGATAGGAGGGAAGATCAGGCGGGGAGGCAGAGGGGACGGGTGTCAACAGCAGCTGGTGACAATACAGATCAATTTGGGTAAAAACGTACCTTTCAAATTATTATAAAAAATCTTTAGTTAGTAGAGACATTCACTTTCTACTTTTGACTCATATTACCTTTCTCGCAATGTCATAAGGTACAAGTAATAAACCAGCTGGATATCTACCAATCACTACATTTTTGTATTTATCAGTCATTCACACAATAATGTTTTATTTATAGAATATTGGTTGCGGGATTGAAAAGTAAGCCGTGAACTCAGCCTGTTTAGGACAGATTTTCTCATTTTATACAGATGCTGTGCATTATTGTACATACTCCAGCTCTGCTTCGCTCGCTCTCCCCGTGATGGATAGGTGTAAATCATCGCAATCCTGTAGTGACAGCCCAATTTCCCCAAATCTGATCTGCTTAAAGAATGCAGCTTTGACGCTCTACTCGCTTATGTCTCCTTTCCTCTCCTCTCTCCAACGTTTATTTTTCTCCAAATACCTCCATTTGTCCCTGGTTCTCTCTCAGATGGAGCACCACTTTTATTCACACACTCTCTCTCTCACTCTCCTCTCTTTTG